ATAAATAGGACACCAAAGACTAGTAATTAAGTGATCTGAGTGTATTAAAACAGAGCCACTGGGACAGTGTATGCCAACCATACTTTACGTGGAGTAGGTGATTTAACTTAAGATTTGAATTTAGATCTGGAATTACAGCAATGGAAACAAAAGGAGATTTGGAAGGGCAACACTCTCAGGTCTATAAATAGCACTTTCATTGATGGAAGAGGTCTATTCACTGGTAGGAGAGGATATTTTTCCTATTTTGTGTTCAGTTTCCCAGAGATCAAGAAAAAACTGGCAGCAAAAGAGAAATGTGAACCTGCAATTAAATACAGTGAGTTAGGTTATTCTAAGCCAGACAAATACAAAGTCAATCAAGCAGTAGTCCAGATGCATTGCTTATCTTACTGGTATTCAGCTAATTTGGCAAATTATGGTAATAAATGTCAAAAGTTACTGTTCCACTCAATCTTAGCCCACTTTTCCAGAAATACTGGCCTCTGTAATAAGTCTTGCAAAAAACTTACTCAGCCACTTGATAAAGGAAGCTTACAAAATTATTTTAAAAAAAATTAATTATTATTCAAAAAGAACAATATGAGAACAATATGAGAAACATGGAATATGAAATATCCAGACAACTTTGTATAGTCATGGAAGAATGGAAGCTTATTTTCATCTTCTCTAGCAGAAAACACAAAGGCAAGACGTACAGTCAAAAGTTTTCTTCAGCACCAGTTGAAGATGGTTATTTAAAAAAAACCCAAACAAATTATCTGAAAAAAATTGCCATTTTTCGCCCCTCAAAGAAAACGTTAGTATCTGCTGAAAACTCCAGGACACAACCATTTGTGTTTAGGGAACAGAGATCTTGAAGTTAAGGTAAGACAAGAAAAATTAGATAGAAGGGCAGAAATGGATCCTTAAGAAAGGAAAAGATTAGAAAATCCAAGATAGAATGACTTTTTTTTTATGGTTTAAATATTCTGCACCCAAGAGCGGAGAAACAGGAAGTCCTAACAGCAAAAAAACACTGAATGAGCAGTAATGAAGAGTAAAAAAAAAGCAAGAGGTAAATGACTGAAATTAAGAATGGATAAAAAAAAAATCACTTTAAAGGATTCTCCAGAAAATATATTAATAATCACATATTTCTTAGATATTTGTAAACTGATAACACTGATCACGTTGGACACATAGTCACCTATCATAATGATATTCTACACAAGAATAAAGGAGTGCAAATTAAATTAATAAGGTATGGAAGATGAACTGCTTATTAACAAGTTTTATATGAAAATATGAAAATTTTCATATCCAAAAAACAGATCCCAAGAGACCATGAAGAGATTAAGTGTCTGATCCACACCCACATTTCTGCAGATGGAAAACATGGAGGGCAAAGAAAAAAAATTCAGGGCGGAAGTTCTGTATGGGACCTTTGAGATTTATTGTGAAAAGTATCATTATGACCACATAGAGCGTAATCTTAAATTCTTTGGCCTGCCAGAGAAGATAATCTAGCTGCAACAAAGAGCATCAATATCTTTTCAAGTGATGTGCTTGTGCAGCTTTGCCTGAACCATTTCCAGAAACAAAGGCTGGACTGAGAGCGAGGACACAAAGCATGTGATTAAGGTACTGATTGTCTCCTCATGAGATCTACATAACTATCACTTAAACTGTCAGCAAAGATGTTAGCATGTAAAACTGAGTAGGTGCCATCAGCTTCAAATACTTCACAGTGACCGCTTCTGGTCAGTTAGTACCAGTGTCATTCTAGCTGTATCTTGCTACATATATGAAATATGACTGAGAGAAGAGAGAACAAGGTGACCATCTCTGCAGAGCTCAAAAATGTAAAAGATAACTGCATATATTTATATGGAAAGAAGGATGAAGGTTGAATAATGACAATATTGTTCTTACAGAGTGTGTACTTAGTACATATCTCAGATAAAATATTGGTGTTTAAAATGAATAGAAGGAAAATTGTGGGAAAGTAATTTAAGAATCACAAGGAGAACATTAAGACTGCATTAGGAAGCAGAAGGCAAAACTTTCCATTAGAGAAATCAGTGAAAAGTCTCAAAAACGTAAGAACTGAAGACGAAGCCACTACCACTAACCAAGATTATTATCTCCATGTGGACTGAACAGGAGTCCAAGTCTTGAAAACTGGAGAAATCAGTAACAAAATAAAATACTTATCCATAAATTATAACACATCTTGGTAGCAGGATTGGGGTTGTTTTTTGTTTTTTTTTTCCTTAATTTGAGTTGGATGCACATGTAGTAGTAAAGCAAGCAGTGCCAGACCCTTTTCTTCAGAATAGAGGTCAACTGAAGTAGCCTGGTTGCTCAAACACAGACTGGCCAAATCCAATCTACTTATAGTGAATACTCCCAGGTCCTAAATCTAAACTGTTGGGACACTATTAGTCTGGGCCAAGACCAAACCCAGGAAGATGTTAAGAATTTCACAGGATGGAGAAGGATGAGGTCCTGCTGTAAGATGTTTTAATTTAGTAGAACAATTGCAGCTGTGGTACACAGCAAACTTGCAAATAAATTGATAGAAACTTAATGAAAAAAAAAGACTCTAACTGATTCTGAAGCCATCTAGACACCTTTCTTTGACCAGCTCCATGTCCATTGGTGTCCTGAGTTCAGCAGTAGCAGTCATGTTTCTCCTTCATGGTAGCTGGTGCTGTGCTGTGTTTTGACTTCCAGCCTGGGAACAGTGCTGATAGCACCGATGTTTTTGGTTGTTGGTAAGTGATGTTTACCCTGACCAAGGACTTTGTGAGGCTCATGCTCTGCCAGGGAGGAGGGGAAGCCATGAGGAAGCAGAGACGGGGCGCCTGACCCAGGCTAGCCAAAGAGGTATTCCATACCACAGCACGTCATGCCCGGGGAGGGTAACTGGGAGTTACCCAGAAGGACACAGGGTCTTCTGGGTCGGACTTGTTTCTTGGCTGGTGATACTGTATCCTCTTCCCTTGTTATTTTCTCTTATTGTTGTTGTTGGTGGTAGCGGTGGTGATTTGTGTTGTACATTGGTTGCTGGACTTTTCTTGTCTCAACCCGTGGGAGTCGCACTCTTTCGATCCTCCTCCCCATCCCTCCGGGAGCGGGGAAGGGGAGAGCGCTGGGGGGGGGCCTCGATTGCTTCCAGCCCAGCACCACTCACTGGGAGTGAGTGAACGAGCTGTCTGGCTAGGGTTTAAACCACGACAATTGGACTGTCAGCTTAGTCCCAACAGCTATATGGGGGCTTACCCACTTTAGTCACTTACGGAAAAATTTAGACACTGACATGCAGGTAGCTGAATCTGAAATTAATCCAGCTCCATATATCCACAGTCATTTAGACAGTTACTTGGAAAGTAGCTGTCTGAAGTGCCTATTTCTTTCCATTGACTGTCGAAATAGCCTAGGGGATGGAATTGTCTTGCCTATTACCATGCAGTTGCCTGTAAGTGAGCCTTTTTTTTTTTTTACTCTCCTATTAGGAGAAACACAGACTCTAGACACACTTAGAAAAGACAAATCCCTCAATAGGGTAACCAGCCTGCTTATCTTGGACTTAGCCAACTGACTTTTAGGTCACAAAGTCTGGGGAGATGAATTATCTATTTGTTTTTCCTAGGCCATGCTTGGGTAGCCCACGGCTAAGTTTTCTTTCCTGCTCCTGGGTCCCTTTTCATAAACCCTCAGTTTCTCAGCAAGATTGCAGTTTCATTTATCCTGCATATGTGGAGTGGCACCATCCTTTCCCTGGTGTTTCATCTCATCTCTGACTGCAGTCAGCTTGACACTCTTTTAGACTCTAGAGCAGTAGGGCTGGGAAAGCTTAAGCAGTAGGATGTTCACGAAGGACCTTTTCCTTGGATCCTCTAGCTGAGAACAGGAAGCTCTTTCCAGAGTGGTGGGCAAATAGAAAGCACTGTGATGACATCTTTCCTCCACCAGGAAAGATGGCTTAAGGCACCATTATCCCCTCCCTTTCTCTTTCATAGCTGCACACTCCTGTCAGTGTTCCAGGTCAAAATTATTTGGGCTAAATATACTCCTCCACACTTTTTCCCCTCCTGGATAGTGGGTCATTTGAAACCAAGTCATTTCAGTCATCTGCTTCAGAACGTGACACCATAAATGGCTGTAATGTTACCACTGAGGAGCTGGCACACAGTACTGTAAAGGTGGAAAAAGTGGCAAGGAGCAGGGTAACTGCTCTGCTCAGCTGCATTGCCAAGGACAAGTCAGGCTAACATGTGAGACCTCTTCAGAAGAAATAGAAGTACAGGTTAGTCTGCATTATAAGGAGATGGAGAAGAAACAACGAGAATCTTAGTTTTGTCAGGAAATTAGTTTGGGAGCAGAAGAACAAAGGAGTTGTCATGCCCTGAATTTATTGTAAGAGTCAACCCCAATTGGCACATTCACCAAGTCATCAATACAGATGTGTCTCCCGATCCCACTCGTACCCTAATTACTTATGCATTTATTAGTTATATTACCATAATGCTGACGATGCCACATCATGAGCAGGACCCTATTCTGTTAGGACCTATGCAACTGCAAGGTGCCACCTAAGGGCCATGTTATTCTGTTGAATTCCCAGTTGTTAGGTATAGAAAAGTTAAGCCTCTGTTGGGACATTCCTCCACGGAGAGGGTGGGAAACTGCATTATTAGAAGTTTATTTGAGGTTTTATACCCAGCTGCAAAACATTGAGCTTCTGGACTTCTGTCAGAAGTTGCATCCCATTGACCTAAAACAATATCTGATGTATGAAGTTCTTGAATGGTTGAACAAGATTTTTCTACATCACCCCTTCATGTAATTAAAGGGGAATTAATTTATGTGGTATTAAGTACACAAGACCAAAGGATTAAGATGATATGCACTGGCCCCATGACCTAAAGCATTTGCATCATAGGGAATGCAAACACTGATGTGGTAATACCTGTTAGAATAACTGACCAGCACCAGGTATCAGAGATACTTGCCTTCTTCCCATCAACAGTGTAGAGCTTCTTCACTGGGAACTGCAGGATCTCAGAAATCTCATCCAGGAGTGTTTTGAAACTCCTGGCATTTCTGCGGTTCAAGATGATTGAACGACGAAAACCACTTTCTCCATTCTTAACTAGTGTGAACTTCTTTGGTATTCTGGGGCCATGCTGAGTGAAAGGTGTGGAATAATCTTCAAGCTTGCCCTCCTGAGCTGTTCTTCTTAAGGTACTGGAGGGACGGCCGTTTCGTGGAGGGCCTGGCCTGTGTCCCCCAGAAGGAATGCTAATAGGCTTGACATATTTCTTGTCGGAGCAAAGATAACATCCTCCATCCTCTAGTTGGTCCAGCTCACTGATGCAATGTATTCCTCGTGGGGTGGTAATGGTCCGTACCCCAAATGGCAGTGGGACCCGATGAGAGAGGTCATCCATGAGTGCACTGAAGCTCTTGAAACTTCGCTGGTTGATGGCCATCTTGACTCCTGCAAACTGAGGATCTCCACTCTTGAAGAAGGTTATTTTTTTGGCTGGGAGTACCTTGGTGACAGTGCTTGTCTGAGCCACAGAAGTAAGGGGCTGCTCATAGTTGTAGGAGCTGGTGGTTGACAGGTAGTCAGCAGGTATCTGAGTCATCCCTGTTGCTTAATGGTAACTACAAGAGAAAATAAATAGAGTAGTGTTTGTTTGAGTCATGCAACATTTGTTTTCCTCACAACAGTTTTACCGTCTATGCTTGATCAAAATCAGATTGTACCCACATGGAGTTATGAGCTAATTGGTCCTCACAGTTAAACCATACTTGTTCTGCAGATGCCAATGCAAATTCAGTCAGTGTTAATAGCCTCTGAGACACAAAAAGCATGAGTCAGATCCCAAGAGAAACCCACAAAACCTGATATTTGTATATTGTTGTCAGTTCTGTGTCTTCCTTGCTTATATTTTTGAGGTTTTCTCTGAAACTATCAGAGCCAGTGATTATTTCAGTTTTATTTTTGCAAGAAGAGCACCAAGATTCCTATGCAACCCTTTAACCCCATGAACTGGTGCATAACAAAACTCTACTGAATTTGTTCATTTAGTGATTGCAAATTGTACACAGCCAGTCCTGAGTGTACCAAGGGGCAGAATAGCCTGGTTTCAGAACAGCTGGGCATAGTCACACCATAGTGTTCTCAAGTAAGGTCTGAATGAAAAATCCATGGCAGCTATGCAAACAGATAACAGTAAGAAATATCACAAGACATCTACAAAAAACCCTACAAAGGTTGGTTCTGCTAAACAATGGAATATTTGAAATCAGCCCAGTAAGGACAAACCTGAGGAGAACAATCTGCAGAGTTTGTGTCAAAGCAGATGGGTCCTTCACTTTAAAAGCTAAGCTGACTTTGATGTTTAAGTCTGGTGGTTGAATCCGACCTTTTGATACCCAAATATTTGTAATGTCTTTGCTATGGTGGAGACAAGTGGAAAAGAAACTGGGCTCTACTCTTTCTTACTTGCCCTTACCAAATGCATTGTCTTGGAAGTCAACCACTAAAAAATTCAGACCATGCATTGAATGAAACTACAATGCCAAAAAAGAAGACATGTTGGTTTTGACAGGGTCAAAATAAACCATCACCACTATTTAAAACCACTAAAATATTGGCTGCAATGAGTATGACAGATGTCTATTCCATTAGTATGAACAATGACTCCATAATTCACTTTGAGTTGATTATTTAAACTTAAATGGAGACTCTCAAAATGGCATTTAGAGATGTCATCTTCTGATCAGAAGTTACTGCTCACAGATAGGCAGCAAACTTTTTGAATTAGTAAGGAGTACCATAGCTTTTCTTGTACCTTGCAGATGGTTCTGGCTACAAGCACCTACATCCAACTTACTTTCCAAATTATGTTCTTAGTTGATAGCAGTTTTTTATGGCAACTTCAAAAAAGTCTCTCACAATAAAAAAAAAAGTTTAATGTTCACAAATGGGTTAGAAAACAATAAATGTATTTCTAATTGCAAGTTTCCTTCGGTTTGCTCCTGGTTACACTTCTTGCAGCAACTGAATAAAGTTCTAGTTTCAAGAAAACAGTCATGCTATTTGCAAATTATTCTTTGGAGGACCAGTTTGGTGACCAATGTAATTCATGGGAGTTTTGTCACTGAATCCAGAGGTGCAGCATTCAAAATCTGCAAATGTTGATTTTCTCCACATTTTAAAACTAAACCATCATTTTCACATTGTGCTACTCTCAAGTGAAGTATTTATGCACTTTGTATGACAGCAAATTCACTCCTGCAATAAATGGAAGTTTAACCTCAGGTAGTTGAGAAACGACATTAAGCACCATTTGAAAGATTATTATTTTGACAAATGTCTGCTTTTTTATATCCATGCACACTGACAAAGATTTCAATATGATTTATTCTCTCCATGTACGTATTTCACCAAGAGATTATTCACTTATTTATTTCCCAAGTAAAGGTCAATCCATCAGCCTATCTTCCAGGGAAAAACATATCTAATTTCTCTATTTTTCAGCGGCTTTCAGAAAGGTAGCTTTAACTTTTTCTCCATAAGTCCCACATTATAGCTTTCAGACATCAGCAGCATAATTTCCAAACAAATCCATTATCCAAATTGTAGTCCCTGGACAAATGGTGGTCTACAATATACTGGCTGCATTCCCAGAAATCTAACTGCTTCCCAAAGATTTATTCTATTATTTTTTTTCAAGTTTTTAAATCATACTGTAAGAAGTAAAAAAAAAAAGGGACAAATTGTATCATATGTTCCCAATACTAATTTTCTTTAGGAATAATTTTACAAGGTTGTTAAGGGATCAGCAGTGTAAAGGAATATTGCCCCTTAAATTTTGGGTGATAGAGTTGGTTACCCACCCAGGCCTAGATGGTCTATCTTCTTTTAAGAAGTAGTATATACGTGAAGAGCAAGCATTCCACACAAACCTTGCATGAAATGGAAACAGTTCCTTCAGGGAGAAGTTTTGTATTGTCTATTTGAAGTTTCAGAATGGTAAAGGGATTCTATTGCATACTGGCAAGGCAACAAAAATGGTTATCTTGCCCAAATACATCTTTTTATAGATACAGATATTTACAAGAAAGTCTCAATGCATATTTTCATACTTACATTGAAATACTTCATGTCTCTTGCTCAAGATGACTTTTTCTTATAGAATATCCAAGAAATTAAAAATAAATGAACAAAACAACTAAGCAAACCCAACACAGCCAACCAACCACCTCTAGGGTCTAATGCACTGGACAGAGCAGGGAAATGCATTGGCAAGTTACGTGCTGTCAATCAAACTGTCCTCAAAATGACTGACCACAGCTTGGAGGGTTAATCAGGACTGTGTTGCTAAGGATAGAAAGAAAAGCTACCTAATCTGCTGAAGAAGGCTCTCAAATCCACTGGGGCTTTAGGAACAGTTTGCCCAATCCTTCTCTTGCTTGTGTCTACGTAACTCAGGTATAAATCTGACTCAGTAACACTCCTCCGAAACCATACCAGTATAAGTAAGAACACAGTCAAGGCCAAAGAGGTAACGTTTTTGTCTTGCATAAAGGCCTGCTGAGATCTGGAAAACTTTCCAGAGCCACCCTACTCATGAACTCACCAACTCATCAGCAATACTTTGGAATCAGATTTACCTTCAGGGAAACTCCAGGGAAATCGATGGAGCTAAAGATGATGGTAGTCCTTACGGATTTCTGTACATGTTTGTTACTTCTCAGCTGATTGATAGTAATTTACTTGGGGCACAGATTCATAACAATTTTTCAGTGAAATACTGTCTTAATAGTAAAGTCTGGTGAGTCATAATTTGCAATCAGGATGGTGAAATACTGGAACAAGTTGCACAGAGAGATGGAGATGCACCATCCCTGAAGACATTTAAGGCCAGGCTGTATGTGGTTCTGGGCAACCTGATCTAATGGAAGACGTCCCTGCCCATGGTAGGGGGTTTGGAATAGATGACCTTTGAAGGTCCCTTCCAACCCAAACTACGCTATGATTCTAAGATCATGGCAGATGTCAGAGTCTTGGATGAAATAAGAACAGCCAAGCAACATAAGAATGACAAATAACATGGAAATTACTTTTCAATTTACCATTGTAGCCCAAAAGGAGATCTCAAAATGACTAAACTATAGCAGGCAGGTAAGTCATGCACTTTTTAACCATACCAAACCTCCACTATCCAACTTCACATAGAAGCAGCTGTGAGAGCATGTAGTTGAGCATTCATTAGGTGAACCCTTAGCCAATACATCTGCAGCACACATCAGCCTTCACCTTCTGTCCCTCACACTACGCTTGTTATCTCCAAGGGCTTTTTGCAGCCTTCTCTCTGTTGGGGACAAAAAAGGAGAGAAATCCAGCTACCACTCTGGAAAGTGCCTGAGCTGAGGCAGGAGAGATGTTGAAGAACTTGACTCAATGAACTGAAAATGAAGTCTATAACCACTCTTGGTTATAGATGAGAATGCTTTCTTGAGAAGCATCCAGACTTGACTTAAATACTATAAATTATTCAGGGTCTATCCTGTCCAGCAGCAACAGTTCCAGTAGGTAATCCCACTTAATGCTAAACACCTCTACTTTTTTTCTAGCCTATATATGCCTAGTGACAATTTTTTGTATGGCTTTTGTTGATAAATTATTTTGCAGACTTTTACTGGAAGTTTCTCTTACCAACGAATAATTGTAGCTTCCATTTTTACAAAGTCATTTCTTGCAGACAGAAGAAAAACGTACAGGTCAACATTAACATTTGGAATAGAGCTGGTTGAAAAATCCAGGTGTGTTACAGAGAAATCATGAACAAGACTATTTCATTTGAAAATTTTCCCAGAAAAGGTGTGAGTTTCTAGCAAGAAAGAAGAATCATTGTTTTGCAAGATCTAACCATTTTTCTCTATAAAGGCTCATTTTAATTTGCTCTGTGCCCTTTTTGAGAAAGACAAATATATTTTAAAATGTCAAAGTGATCTTATTAACAAGAGCTATTTATGGTCCGACCAAGACAAAGTATTGTATGGAAAATTACCAAAGTTGTGATGTTTCATTCATAGAATAGAAAAGCATTGAATTTGAAGACAGTGAACCCATTTACCTGTGATTATTTAAGAATTTTCTGGAAACAAAAAAAAAAAAGGTAAATTATATATATATATTTTTTCCTTCAATTTATTTGTAACTTAAAATTACTTGAAAAGGATTATCAAATTCTGTGTAGGACTTGAAAGATACTGGCGTACTGGAGTGAGTCCAGCAAAGGACAGCAAGATGATAGGACAAAATAGGAGCATATGATGTGCAGGGGAGGATAAGAGCACTGGAATCATTGATCATGGAGAAGAAATTTGGAGACATCCATATCATTGTGTAGGACATCGTATAGGCATGGTATAAAAAGAGACAGACTCTTCCCAAAAGTGTATAGTAAAGCATTAAGATGTGGCAGATACAAGTGGCATCATTCAAAATACCATTTAGGTATTAGAGAAAATTCTTCATAATGGTGATAAAAGACTGGGATCTAAGAGGTGGAGGAATATCCAACCCTGGAGATATTAAAAACTCAGTTGAGCATCTTCATCTATTGGGCACAGCTATGTGTGGTTGGACC